ATTAATTCCAGGTTTATGCTGCTCTCAGTGTCCCTGCCCCATGGCTGCTGTAGGGACTCTGTGATATCCTCTGGGTGATATTTAGCCCTGTATGTAGACCTGGTGTGAGGAGTTGTGCAAGACAGAAAAACTGCTGGGTAAAAAAACCTACAGAGGGATATTGATTCAGTGAAGAACAGACATGGTTTGGCAATATGGGGCTCTTTGCACTCTTCAATGTGCTTTTCTTTTGGTCACCAGTCCCTCTTGTCTGTGCTCTAGCCACATGATAGTGTATTTTGCATGAGGGAGACCTTTGGGATTTATTTGGGAATTAAAGCTTCTGCACATGGCTTGTGGCTCCCTAAGCAGAAATTTGTCATTGCAGGTATGTAACAAAGTGAAGTTATGCTGATATTCTGAATAGTTTACTGAAACAGCCTTGGGACTGTTTGCTGTGCAAATGCTCTGGAAATCCAGCCTTTTGGGTTATTTCCCCCTTAATTCTTTGTGGAGAGTAAAAAAGAAAAGGTGTGAAGGCTGAAGATGTCATGTTACATTCAATATTTTTGCAAGTGCCTTATTAAACATGAGTTATGTGATTTATTTTTTTTTCCTGTTAACTCTTGTTACTCTCTTCTTGCCCCATCAAGCTGTGAATATTTCTAGACACCAATCTTAGGTCCCTTTCAGGAGAGGAAAAGAAGGGCAGCACCAGCCTGCTTTCATTTTAGAGAAATGGCAGCCTAATTTCAGACTAAGGTCTGTGAATATATCTGCATCCAAAGTGTAATGCAGCTCCTTGTGGGAAGTTTGGTGATCAGAAAGATGAGGGAGAAGAGGAAAAAGGTATCAAGTTTCAGAGCTGGTGATACAGTATGTGTGGGCTGTCAGTGTTCTCAGGTATCTCTGAGCTGTAAAATCTCATCTTGGCTGCTTAATTATCCACAGGAGAGCGCCAACTGGCAAGACTGTACTGTACTTCTAGAGTATTTTTAAAGTCTTCATTTAAAATTCAAATTGAGTACCATTTTTTATTACTGCAGTCATTAGTATAGAGTTGCACTTGTAATGCTTGTAAGAACACACTTAACCTAGTATCAGGAGTTAATTGTTAAATTGCAGTGTCCTCTTTGCAGGGCATTGACTTTTCTTGCACACCTTGTTCAGTGAGCAGTTTAAGCAATTAAGTAAATGTTTGGTATTGGTAACTCTTTAAGAGAACTTACATGACTTGAGGGACATAAAATGGTTAACCTGTGGCAAGCCATTTTCTATTAGATTACCCATTAAATGCTGTTTTAATTGAGTAATACACTGTACTTGTATTTAGAGTACTTTATGTAAGATTTATGTAAGGGAAATAAATAGATTTTTTAAGCATTTTATGTAATTGATTGTAATTATCAATTTTAAGCATTTTTGCCTCTTTTTACCTGCAGTATGGATGGAGCAGACCTGTGTTTTGAAATTGTGAAGAGAGCAGATGCTGGATTTGTCTACAGTGAGGCTGTAGCCAGGTATTTATTATAATTTTAATTAATCCCTCAGGATAGATAGGAAAGAATGGAATATAGTGTTGTACAATCTGTTAGGTAAAAGTTGAAAGTTGTACTATAAATAATCCTGTTTCCACACTCTAGATGTTTATTGCAGTAATTAGCATAATCAAAGTAGAATTTTGGAGCATTTTGCCATTTACTAGTTACAGATTTGTATGAATTACTGAGTAAAACTGTATTTCATATCTGATACCTAATTGGCTGTGTTTGCCTTTATGAATCTCTGATATGATGGTATTAAGTGACACAACCTGACAGAGTGAGGGTTTTACTGGTCTTGCTAGATGGAGTTGGTTTGGTTTTTTCTTTCTAATGTATCACTGTGTTTATGGTCACCTCACCTTTTCGCTTATGAGATTAACTAAGATGAAAGAGTCTATAAAACTGCGAAAGGGTAATGAAATCCACTGTCCTAATGGCCTGATTGTTGAGCTCAAAATCCACAGCATTCTTCATTTGCTTTTCTCAACACTTTAGATTTTTTAGCATGATAGGAACCAGGTTGGAGGAGACCTGCATGTCTGTATTTGAACCTCCTGCTCGGGGCAGGCTCAGCACAGCCTTTATCATGTTGCTCAAGGCTTTCTCCAGTATTATTGTATTATTCACTGCTATAAACCTAAACTCTATTCTACAAAACTCTGTATATTTGAGGTTAAATTGGTTGACTAGTTTTATACAGTTAGACTCTTAAACTTAGATTGTTAAATATGTATAGTAATTTTTCCTGCGGGTTTGTCATGTATAATGTCTTTGTTTTTTCAGTCATTACATGAGACAGATACTGGAAGCTCTACGTTACTGTCATGATAATAATATAATTCACAGAGATGTGAAGGTAAGTGGCTTAATTACTTTCTTTTTCTTCACCACAATAGTGCTAAGTACAGATTTTCAATTTCTATAATTTAGAGAAGGGAGGAGCTCTAGAAAAGAAATCTCTAGTTGCTGAGTGTGTCTTTGCTATTATTTTGTCATGTAAGATTAAAGCCCACCCTAGTTCCATCAATATAGAATATTTAGGAGGTCTGTATTCACAAATTACACACGCATTTGATTACAACATGCTTTGAAAGTCAGTTTAATTTCTAGTTTTTGAATATTCATATGGAATCTGCTTGCATTTTCTTCTTGTTAGGAAAATGTGTATATAAATTAATTGCATAAATTAAACTGGAATTGGTAGTTTATTGGCATCAATTTGACAGCATAATGACAGCCCTCATTCACACTAAGATTTCATAGAGATGCACAGGCTTAAGTGCTACAATATTAGCAATATTATCTACTTCTTGGAGACAGTCCAATAAACATTTATTACTATGAAAACTTCTTTAATATAAATAAGTTTGGGAGGATAAATGCAGTGTTTAAGACCAGTGTATGTACATACTGGTTTTAATCTGGTAAACTTTGTACTGTTTCTATGGATATTTATGCAAGTAGTTTATCCTAAAGTAGTTTAACGTAAGTAGCTGGGAGTTTTAACCCAAGTGGGCTTTACTCTCTTCAATTTGATTATGCCTGTTCTTTGTTAATGTCATTACCTAAAGTAGTTATTCCCACTTCTCCAAGAGTGGTTTCATCCAAAGTGAGTCAAGCACTGTAGGAATTAAGGAAAATACTAGCAAGCTGTGGTGGTACAGTTTGAGATCTTGGATTTTAGCGAATAGAGAGATGGAGAGAGGGTAAACTCTGCTTCAAACTCCTGCAGGTGACCTGTGAGGGGAGAGAGTACAGACACTGAACTGGTGGTTTTTATGAGGAATCATTTGGTCTTTTATACCCCAACATTGCAGACCATTCACAACCTCTTACTCCTTTCCTTTTAAAAACAAGGAAACAAGATTATTATGTAACAGGCTTTCTTTTTAAATTTGTTGTTTTAATAGTAATTTCTTAAAACAGAGTCTAAAATTAGAATTTTTGAGTATCAGCTCTTAATTGCTGGTAGAATGTCTCATCTTATTCTGTGTTGAGGGTTCTAGGTACTTTTCTTTTAATTATTTTGTTTTGTTACCACATGAATTTCAGAATTAACATCATCTTTATGTTGCTGTGTCTTCATGAAAGCGCCACTTTTGTACCATGTTATTGAAAAAACCCCAAGTTTTAGCTTTGATGGCCTCTCAGGGAGGCAGTTTCACTGAGGTTAAAGTGGGGTTTAGTGCTTACCCTAACCTCAGACTCACAGGAGGTTTTCTTTTTAAATACTATCCTTAGAAATAAACCTGTTCAAATAACATGGGTTAGGAAAAAATGTGTAAGGTATCAGTCTAAAGCAGTGTAAACCCACAGTGTTTTGTTCTGGCAAAAGCAGTGCAGAGCTGTGGGGTTTGGGAGTTGGACACATTAAACTAACTGCAGTATCCAGGCTCTAGATGTCACTGTAGACGTTGTTTTGAAAGGAAATAGACTAAATGACCACTTCAGAAATTACCTGAATGAGTGAAAGTGCTTTAATTGATATAGTCAGGCTACATTTTTCTCCCCTTTAGACTTTCTGTGAATGTTATTTTGAAATGTAAATTGCTTGGTCATTTTTTGCTGCACAGGAAAATCATCACCCTATAGCCCATGTAAGATTTAGGTGTCTTTCAGGTGGTTTTGTGCTCCCTTAGTTCCTGTCTGATTAGGAAGTTAGACAGTTTAGAGTAGATAAAATTAAAGTTTGCTGTTGTCTGGTGCCAGAATCTTCACCTGACTTTTCCAAATGACTCAAGCCTGGGACAAATTCTCTGTGCCCCACATCCATGTCTCATGTCAGAATCAAAACATGAAAGCTTTCACGGGATGGCCTGTTGTTGTCCTAATTGCTCTCACTGCTCTGTGAAACCAGATGTTTTGTGAACCTGTGTACATGATTTGACCCCCTTCAGCATTGCTTAAAGGCTTTATAATCAGTGAAAATTACAAATTTGCTTCACCCCCAGTTAATATGATTCCGCAGTGCTTGGAAGCTGGATCATATGGTAAGGAAAATAGAAGATGCAGGAAGGTAGAAAACTCAAGACAACTGTGCATCAGAAATGTGAATGTCAAGAACTTTTTCCCTTACCACAACATTTTTTTCCTGTTCTGCCAGCCTACTGATAGAGCACTCAGCAATTCCTTTTCTTCTGTCGTAACCTTGCTATAGTGTCAGGAATACCCAGAAGGTGGCTCTTGAAAGTAGCAGCATTGAAAAGAAGTCTTTTCTATTACCAAATGTTATTACAGAGCAGTTTGTGTACAGAGAAGTCTTTATATAAGAGAACAGCAAAAGGGAAAGGGGAAGGTTGTGGGTCTGAAATGAGATTCTTGTCTTTTCCTGTAAAACTCTTGCTGCAGTTTGGGTACCATTTGTCACTGGCTTATTTTTGCAATAACTTTAACAGAATTGTTTTTATCAGTAAAACATCAAGAGATTTTGCAATCTTTTGTGAGCCTTTATTGTTATGTAGAATTTTCCATAGTTGCAAAACTGTTGTTATAAAAATATCTTTTAATGTAACTGAGGAATATAAGACTGAGAGTATATCAGGTGTAAGAGTAATTACATCCAGAGCTTTAGTTGCTGGGGTTTTATCCTTAATTCATTCCAATTACTCCAACTTTGTTCCATGATTTCCACGTAGTTTGAGTACCTGTATATGTTACTGGTTAGTAAATTGGTGTGCAAGTGGGGTCAAGGTGAGCCTGTCAGCAAATGCAGACATCCAAAATTTTCATTATGGCTTTATCTTGATAGGTATGAATGCTTGTTTCCTGCATGTGATCATCTAAATCAATAAACCTCCTAAAGCAAAAATACACATATTCTGCCTTCTCTGTCATTAAGATTCAGTTCAATATTTCTATGACTGAGAGTCAAAACCAGGGATTTTTTCCAGGGAATAGGACCACGCATTATGTTCTGTACTGCATGTCATATACACATCTGAGTTGGTCAGGTGACCTGAGACTTGATCTGTGGATAGATTTGCATTGTGATTTTTGCACTATACAGAACTTAACCTGTGATATGAATTCTGAGAGCACACTCAGTTACCACTTCTGTCTTCCATTGCCTGAACTGCTTGTAGCTCAGCATTTCAGATTTTGCTGGTAGAATACAACACTCTTACACTTCTGCTTTTAGACATATCTAAAAAATGAGTAAAAGTGGTGTATATGTGTTTGTGTGTGTTTATCTAACTGTATATTTGACTGTTTACAAAATTACCAAAATAGAGTCTGTTCTTTAATACCATCTTCCCTTTACTCCATCTTTGAATATCCAAACCAAGAAATCTGTTGTATGTTACTTTCCTTCCAGTCTTTTCAGGCTTTTCACTTTGAAAATAATTTTATGCTTTCTGGGGACATTCAGTAATAATTGGTGGTTTTTCTGTATTTTCTAGAGCTTAGTAGATCCTTGAGATCCAGTAGCAACTTCTTGGTGAGGATTTTGTCACATATATTAATTTGTTAAAAAGTGATTAAGGCTGAAAAACCTGCAAAACTATCAGAGGTGCAGTTGAAGTGTCCTACCTGGCCACCTTTTTTTCTGAGGAACACTTCCTCATTCAATGTACAAGGGACTCCAAAACCAAAACTTTCAGTATTATTTCTCACTGTTTCTTCAGGCAGTGCTCTTTTCCCCCTGTTTATTTGCATTCCTGTGCCCCTGCTTCCTATCTCAAGGTCTCCTTTCTTGTTTTGTCCAACCCTTTTCCTGTTGACCTGTTAGTATGTTCAGAAGCAGTTTTGCTGAGGAAATTGTATTTATTCTGCTTGGCCTACCTGGAGTTGAACATTTACAAAATTTCTGGTCACTAAGTTTATATGTTTCAGTCATTTAGTGACACAGTCAAAAAGCTCAAAAGGTCTTCTGACCAATGAGCTGGCAGCATATTTGAATGGTTTAACCAAAAATTTGACAGACTCTTGTGGTCTCTAAACTGCTTTGCAAACCAGATGCTGTGCCTGTTTGCCTTATGATTTTGTGTTCACTGCAATATAAATGAATTGTTTATTGTTTTTATTAAACAATTCACATGTCACCTGCTAACTTCTGATTTTGGCACCAGCATGTCTAAGCAATGCAAGAAGTTTTCCACACAAGCTGTGTTCTGCTGTAGTGTTCTAACTCTCACTCATCCCTCATGCTTCTAAGTTTTGGGGGATTTTCCTCTATGAACTCTTCTGTCAAATGGTGGACCAATGCAGGACTCAATTTGTAGTTTCTCAAATTGCCTGTACTGCACAAAAGCTTTTCCACTATTTGAAGCAAGAAAAACTTTGATGCAGTTAAGAACATTAAAGGTAATCTTGGGCAGATTACATAGGATACAAGTCAGGCATATGTCATTTTTTGGTGCTATGTTGAAATGTTGGTGTGGGATCTTGCTAAGAGTCTGTCACAAAGTTATATTTAATTAGTAGTTCCCAAAGTTCCATTCATTTTCTTGCCTTTTTGATAAGCACTGGGGAACAAGTAGTTCTGACTAGAAAAATGTAGGAGTGTCTTCAGCCTATGCTGACTTCAAAAACTGTGTTAAGAGAAACAAGCCCAGGCAGGCATTTTGCTGAGATAACTGCAGCTACATTCCCTATAAAGTGTATTTCAGGAAGGACAGAAGTGTTGGGGTTTGAGTTCATGTCTGTGCAAATCACAAAAGCACTTTGGTAGTGAACAGCTCTGCTCACCCGGACTTGCAACTGATGACCTAAAAGCCAGTCCTGTCAGCAGCACTTTGCCATCTGGAAAGCTTTGACTGCTCAGTTCTGCCTTGCTGTAGTTACTTGTAGTTACACAGTTGTGCTTCACCCATCCTAAGGAAAATGTCTGTGCTTTGTTCAACCTTACTGTAAAGGAAACCTGTGTCCAAAACTTGCTGATAACAACGGAGAGCTGGGTCCTCAACTTCAGCCTAGTTTTTGCCTTCTTCCTTGACTTTTTCAGTAAAAGGAACTGTCCACAGGTGAAATATAAAATATCTCCTGTATTACGTGGATGAATGGGTATTACACTGTTCACTCTACAAACTCCTTGGATTCATTTGGATATACACATTGGATTTATTATGGCTAATGTTGATGTAGCAAGCAACATGATTTGAAAAGAAAATACAATATGTTTACCATTTTATTTAAATAGTTCCCATTTTATATCAAAGCCTGCCTAAAGTTAGTTAAAATTAGTTTATTATTATTTATAGTCTATGAAAATCTTTCCATATTCCTTCCCATTTCAGTGAAAATATCATCATTGAGTTTTTAATGTTCTGGTGTGGATTTTGTAAACAGGTCATAAAGACTTTTCTTAAATGTTTTATCTAACAGAAGGGATATAACTGGATCTAAACTGCTTTTAGTAGCAGCAATACAAGTAAGGACATTTTTAATTTCCACTAGATAGTTTAACCTTGGACAGTCATTGTCTCTAAGCAGTACATAGAAAATTGGCCTAAAAATATGGTATGGAAGAAAACAGACAGTTAATATCATCTGGATGACAAGAATGTTTCTTTTCACTGTTCTGTAAATTAGATGTTTTTCTCCAATACAGGTGTTTTTTTGTATTCTGCTCAGATGTCTGGTAAGAGAATAGTAGGACCACAAAACGGTCATAAAAGACAGAAAAAAGCACACAGTGGCAAGACAAGCTGCAATCATTACAGGACGTTCACCAGCTTCTACCCTGACGTTGTAGCAGGTGGGGAACTCTCCTGAAACCTTCTCCTGGACGTTGTAGGTGATGGCTGTGGCTGTTATGCAGAGCACAATCAGCCAGATAACAACACACAAATATTTAGCGAACTTTGGCCGCCGGAAGCTGTGCAGCAGGCGCCCCTGGAAGGTTCCTGGCAGAGCTGGGGAGCGTTGTGTGCCACAGTTCTTCTTCAGCGTGGCGTACTGGCTGAGGGCGATGGAGCACAGGATGGTGATGGTCACGTACATGCTGACGTGCATCACCAGCGTGCTCAGGTGATGGGCGATCCTGCACGCCGCCGACTCGTAGGGCCAGCGGTGCCCGTCCGCAAAGTAGGCAGCCAGGAAGGGCATGGTGCTGCAAACCAGCAGATTTGCAATCACCAGGTTGGCCAGGTAAATGTACTGTGTCCTCCGGGTGTGCACTTTCCGTGAAAATATCCAGGCACTCAGAATGTTCCCAAAGATTCCAGCGGGAAACAGGCAGGAGTAGAGGATGGGGAGAGCTACGGTGGTAGCTGGCGATGGCTGGAGACATGATGAGTTGTTCATTTATGGCAGGATTTCTTGAGTGGTCAGAGCTGAAATACAGTTAAAATTTAATATTTCTGTAATGTGCATCTAACATCTCTTTGCTCTTATCTCAGCTGTTTCTATCTCTCTGACTTTTCAGTGTTCCTTTGATGCTGCTGTCTTAAGTCTGTGTGAGGTTACAGTTTGGGCATTCTCTTCCACTGAGACTTCATGAAGAAAAGTTAACCCTGAAGCTTTTATGTGCATAGAATGTAATAAAATAAATGAGGAAGCTGAAGGTTCAAGCTAGGGTCTGGCAATAACTTCTGTGATCTTGGTTTATTCCTCAATCTTTTGGAACATCTGTAACCTAATTTGGAAACCACTTACAGACCATTTAAAATTAAATTAGCAAATTAAGTGCAAAGAATTACTTTAATTCCAGAAATACGGAAGAGTGTCTGTACCTCCATTTAACTATAAATTAGTCTGTATGCTGCAAGAATCTCACTATATGTATTTATTCTGTGCTTATGTCTGTATATAGTATTACTTTATCAGAGCTCTAATGTCTCACATGTACATTTAGCAACTCAGTCTATATATTTTTAGCATATACAGTGGTTATTGAGAACTGCAGTATATTAATTTTTTCCAAGTTCTGTTTTCAGTCTTTTCTCAATTTCCAAACTGAAAATAAGAAATTAAAGCTCTGTGCAATGACTGTGTGTAAAAAATGATATTTCTATTTACAGTCCTGTAGTGGAGAGTTTTTACTGTTGTATGCATAGATATACATACATATTTTAGAGGAGTGTATCCTAGTTAGCTTTTTTTAATACCAAATCATATGGGAAAAAATAACATATTTTAAACTTAGAGACAAATAATATTTTTTTTAAACAGCTGTAAACAAGTGAACTCAGATGCTAAAGAGGATTCAGTGTGACAATGATAAAAAGCACAGAGACCAAGTATAAAAACTATGCTGTACGCAGTGTTAGACAAACTTGCAAATTAAACTAACTTCTATAGTTCTTGTATTTTAGTGTACACTAAGTTCTGTAGATATTGTTGAACTAAAATATATATTATTTTATTTTTTATTTACGTTTATTATAATGGGTTGAATTCACAAAGTAATTGTTTAATTTATTCATTTTAGAAGTCTAATGAAAGTTTTTGTGTAACTGACCAAATTTCATGAAGTAAAACAAAGAAGTAGTAATTTTAAGCTTACCTATACAAGCTGCAGGCACCTTCCTTTGCTGAGAGGAAATACTTCTGTCTGGTATCTGTTTAATCTCCACTGCTGCAGTGAAAATGATGGCACAGGAAGCTGGAGAGTACAGTTAAAAAATTGTCTCTGGCATAACTAGGTTTTCAGAGTGTACACTTCCCTTTTACAATGGCAGGAAGGAGGCAGACATTTACAGTTTAGAAAATATGATGTATGTACAAAAAAATACAAAAAAGGCTTTGAAGTTAAGTCAGGAACAGCTCCATTAGGAAAAAAAAAGGAGATAGCATGGAATAGCAGCTAGAACAGTCTTTTAGGTATGGCACAAAAACACCTTGCAATCATTTATATAGTGCTTTCCTCTTTTGGGGGTGGAGGTGTTCTCTTTAGGACTGCCCACTTTCCTTCATGCTGCTGTTTTATGCATGAAAACTTGTCTTTTCAGTCATATTTAACAGCTTTTCAGCTCCACAAGCTGTCACCAAGCTGCCTATTCCCAAAGGCCACGTGCAGCAGTGCTGTGTCCATGTCTGTCCTCACATGAGTGACCAAAGGTGTGGGAATCCAGAGCTTCCCTCTGGCTGCCCTGGCGGGTCTGGGACCATGGCAGGGGTCAGGAACCCCCCTGGACACAGCCCCCAGAGACACTGTCTGTGATCTCTGTCCATGGAAAAGAGTTTTCAATCTTACAGGATGAATTACAAGCTCTGAGTGTCTGATATAAGTAATAATTAGGTGTGGCACAGGTGCAAAAGTAAAATTTTAAGTTTCTAGATTAGGGGCTCAAAGTGGACAAGATGGAGGAAATTGGGTGTGCCTTGTCCTTTTTCTCCTTCTTCATGCCCTCCATGTTTCACTGTGGTGTTGGCATTTTTCTATTGGTTTAGGCTGGGGACACACTGTTCAACGTAGGTGACAGATATTGGCACATTATTGTAAATATAGCACAGGTAGTTTCTGGTATTTATTTTTGTAACATCCCACTGAGGGCAGAGCCCCACACGCTGCCCTGCAGGACAGAGCTGCGGCAGGGCAGCAGAACATGTTAGAGATAAACAGAATAAACAACCTTGAAAATAGCACAGACGAATTATGGCTTCTGCTTTGGCAATGGGGCAGAAAGACAGAGACTTTTTACAATTTCGGAATCATCAATACCGCAGATTCCGACACAAGTGGACACATCTCTTCTGCTGGTCAGGTGATGGATTGTGTGGAAGCAATTTACAGCTGATGTATCCAGGGGTTCTGGCAGGGAAAATGGACTCACTGTCCAAGAAGTGCAGTGTTTCACACAAATCATCCAGAGGTGTACACAGGACAGTTTCCTTCCTCCACAGCATAAATGTGATCACAGAGCAAACTCTGTTTAGCTCTGCAGAAGTTGAGACTTTTGGGCTTTCTGCTTTCTGACATATCTGTGGTTGTAAGATAAAGCCTTTTCAGCACCTAAAAATAAGTTCCTTTATGAGAACAGAAGTTAGGTAAGGTTCTCGTTTTCCTAGTTTGGCTTTATGTTTAAGCATAAATTCACCTCATGATCTGTTATCATTGTTCAGTCTTATTATTACTAATTTTTTTTTCTAAAATAATGTACATAAAAGCTGGCTTCCTATTCTGAATTCATAGCTGAACTCATTTACAATTAGATTTATTTTCTGTGGAGTATTAATAATTAGGTTGTAAAGCTGCAATTAGTTTGCATGTACTTTAATTCTTGTTCTTGTTAGATTTAATTATACCTTGTTTTCCACTTTTGAATATATGTTATATTAAAAATCATTCTAACAGAGAGTCTTCTATTTATTACATGTTTAATAGTTTCTAAGTAGTGTTAGAAGTCCTTGTTGCTGTGGCATTCCACTGAGGTTTAGATACAAGAATGCATATTCTGAAAAGTTGCTGAGAGTGATGTGAACAATTCCAGTTAACAGGTTTGGTTAAATTACTATTATTATTATTTGGTTGGTTATTGACTGTTGCCTGTAGTATTTATAATTTAATGATAATAACTCATGCTGTAAGAAGAGGTAACCGCTACATTTTTTTCTGAATTATTGTATAATAATAATTTGTTGTAGTGAACTAGAGTCTATCAGACTTTATTTTGGAATGGATTACTGAGATCAGTAGCAAAGTAATGAGGCATTGTAAGTTTTTTAAAAATGCTGCTGTCCCAGGAATACAGTTGCAGTTGGTTCTAAGTTGTAGTAAACACCTTCCTTATTCTTTTAGTGGACTATTTCCATTCGCCTAACTAACAAATGGAGTCTTTTATCTAAAATGTATTTGAAGATACTCAAATAGAACACATTCATTTTTTTATGCCATTCACGTTTAAGTTCTTCGTAATTATTTTTATGTGTATCATTCACCTCAATGATTTACATTTTCTCTATTCTCAAACAATGACACTCTTAATTTATACATGTTCTAGATTTTATATTGCCAATAGGCAGCATATGTTGCATTTCATCATTATATGCAGACAACTTGTTTTCTGGCCCTAAAAAACATAAAACCAAGGAAATTCCCAGTGATGAAATTCCTCAACTTCAGCAAGGCTTTATCACTGTCTCTCACAGCCCTGTGTGCTGTCAGAGCATCAGACTAAAGCTTCCATATGTGAACCTCCCAGTTCTGGGAATAATGTGATTCTCAGTTGTTTTTCAGTGGTATAAGTTGAACTCCTCTTTTATAATTGCTGTTTGCCTGCCCTCAGAAACACCAGTTTGCAAGTTAAAACCATAATTGCATTTAATTTCAGTGCAAAAATGAAAGTTGATGTTGTGGTTTAACCCTGATAGACAGGTGAGCCCTCACAGCTGCTCACTCACTCCCCCCTCAGTGTGATGGGGAGGAGAATCAAAAGGGTAAAAGTGAGAAAATTTTTTATGATTTTTGCCTCTTCCCCCTCTTGTTCTTGTGGCTGCTGTGCTGCAGAACAGACCTCCCCTTCTGCTGCTCCCTCCTGCTTTGTCTGACATACTCTGATCAAATCTGCTGGCATCTACCAGAGTAGGTGTTTGTGGTTTTATCCACAAAAAGCTCCTAAATCCCACACATTCACTTACTTCCTCTCCAGTGGGCTGGGTGGTAGAACTGGTAGGGTAAAAATGGAAATTCATCCTCTGTGAGAGTTTAATAAGCTTAAAGAAACAGGCAGAAACAAAAAAACCCCAAGTGATAGAAAGCAGCCCCATCTGACCAGTGCCCAGTGAGTTCCTAAAAATAGTGACACAGCCAAGCTTCCTTCTTGGCTTTTACTGCTGAGCATGGCACCGTGTGCTCTGGGTATCCCTGGGGTCAGCTGTCCCTGCTGTGTCCCCTCCCATGTCCCTGTGCACCCCCAGCCTCTCGCTGCTGGGCTGTTCTCAGAGACAGTGAAGTCCTGCTTGTTGTGCAAGTGATGCTTAGCAATGGCTGAAGCATCCCTGGGTGTCAGCATTGTTTTGATCACAAGCCCAAAACAAAGCCCATATTGTGAAAAAGTCTAGCCCAGCCAAAACCAGTGCAGCACTGGTACAGTTTGGTACACCAGTTGCAATCCATGTGTTTATGGGTTTGAGTAAAGAGGAGAATGAGGTTCATGCAGTTATATGGGGATGTGTGTTGATTTAGCCTTTAAATACAGAAAGCAAAACAAATAGAATTCCCTTCATGAAGACTCAGGTAATCAAGAAACACTGGGAAGAGGAGAAATAAGACACTATTTGAGTGACTGATTCTGTGGTCATTTGGCACATCACAGTGTGACTTTCAGCAGATGTCCCAAGATTTTTCAGGACCATTTGTTCTTCAGTAATATTTTCTTGTAAGGCCTGGTGTTTTACCCTCAAATTTAGGAGAACTGATTGCAGAAAAAAATACATAAGTATTAAATATTTTTTCAAAAGAGTAAGTATACCTGCTTTTGTTTCTTGGTCAGTAGTTGCTGCTTCCTACGTGACAGTGCTGTCTAGTTTCAGGTCCCTTTCTGAGCCTGTTGATACATCTGGCCTTCAAGACTTCAAAGCACTGATTTGTACAGCTGTAGAAATCCAGAAGTATTTTCTGATAGCTTTCTGTGGTTGTCTCTTTGTTCTGACTGCTGCTCCCTTAATGCTGCACTTTGTCAAGATCATGTGGTCATTCCTGTTCTCCTCTTCTATGCCATGCCTACTCTTAGAGATTTTCTTACAGACCTGTTCCCTCCCAGATTTTCATTTCTGAGCTGGAGAGTTGATTAATTTAATGCAGTTTTGATTATCAGTATTGAAATCCTTTACTACTTCTTGATCTTCTGAAGAGATCTGAGTCTATTTTGGCAATACTGCTGTGTCCATGAAGTACAAACCTAATAAATGAAAATTCTGGTCTAACCATTCAGAAGAATTTTAGAAATCACACTTTGTTCAAGCTCCTGTTGTTCATGTCTGTCCTCTCCTGAGCTGCCCAGCCCACACCCTCACCTGCTGTTCAGTATCATCAACCCACTGCTCACAGAATAAGCATGGAAAAGAAAGAATGATGAGATAACATATATATCTTGTGAAATTATGGTTTATAAACTCTATTAGATGTACCAGAATTGATGTAATGATGTAGAACTACAGTATTGCATAATAAAATTGCCCTGGACAAATACAAAACCAAGAGGAGCATTAATATAATAGGATAGCAAAATGATAGATAAAAGATCATGAAATGTAATTACTGTGAGAATCAGAAGTTATTGTACAAACACCTCTGTTTTATGCTGAAATGTTTAAGAATAAGTCAGTTATCATCATATCTATGAAATTACACATTTGTGGAAATCTTTCTTTTGAAGATAAGGAAGCCTCCTAATTTTTTATTAAAAAAAAAAAAAAGGAAAACAAAACAGAATGGCTAGTCATTGTAATTTGTTTGACATATTTATATCCAGTTCCATCAAATCTGAATTATGTAAATTCACATAAAAATTAATCTAAGTCTATAGCTAGCTGAGGTGAAACCTTATGTTTACTTTGTTCAAGCAGAGCATTATGAGTATCTTCTGTAAAATCGAAATATTATATGAAATTAGTAAAAATGCACAGATTTTGCAGAGCTTGATGTCTGGCCTCTATTTCTTTCACCTTTCTGGTGTGTTATGCCAGACATTTAATTTGTTCATTGTTGTGCTGCTTTAGTCATCTTCGTGCCAGACATTCCCACCTTCAGCTTTCTGGTTTTCAAGAAATGTTACAGTTTGGAATTTGTTTGTGCCTAAACATAAAGCTGTTTAGTATCTGAGAATGTAGCTGTAGCTGTGAAACATTGCTATTACATTGCTATTCACACGGCATCAGCAGTTATCAAGATCATTTTAATCACGTGGAAAGAAAAGTCT